GTACACAACACCAACACAGAAAAATTCACATTACTAGAACACATTGGTATTGAAGGAATTAGATACTGTTTCGAAATATCACTTACTCGAACCGTCCTTACCGCGTAGCTCAGTTGGAAGAGCATTGGGGTAGTATTCGAAAGGCCGTAGGGTCGAATCCCACCGTGGCCGGGCATATTTTTCAAGCTCGCCCGGTGTGGATATGCACTCAGAGTAACATCGCAAACATATTATTCACCTGAGTACACAACACCAACACAGAAAAAAATTCATATTACAAGAACACATTGGTATTGAAGGAACTAGATACTGTTCCGAAATATCACTTACTCGAACCGTCCTGACCGCGTAGCTCAGTTGGAAGAGCATTGGGCTAGTATTCCAAAGGTCGTAGGTTCGAATCCCACCGTGGCCGGGCATATTTTTCAAGCTCGCCCGGTGTGGATATGCACTCAGAGTAACATCGCAAACATACTCTGTATATTGTAAATTATAGGAAAAGTAGTTTAAAATGTTGGTTCTGAAATAAAATTTCTTATAGTATATCATTCAAACATCCAAATTAAATATGTTACGCTTTCTATTATTTATTTTTAAAAGGCACCTCCTGAACGATTGTCGAAAGCAGGACAGAAACCAGAGTCAAAACAGAACAAAACTGATAAGAAAACGAAGAATATAAAATTGAAATTCCCACAAAGCACGGTGGGATGTAAACAAAGCGGTAACAAGACTCCCTCAAATGAAAGCCTCTCAAGTGAACACAAGGATGGAAAGCCCACTGATCGACCAGAGGAAGATCATGATTGTATTGATGACATCTATGGAGAAACCGCATCTCAAAACTCACATTCTGAGGATAATAACTACACAGAGTTAGATACCAGATACACACCAGTACCACAACTTTATGAAAAATATATAACAGAGGCTCCTAAAGCCAAAGAGGTAAGCCCACTACCACCAAAATTAATAATTTCCTGCATGAGTATGAATGTTAGCTAAGCACGTTTTATCCCATCGTCCGCATTTTATCCCCTACTCCGCATTTTATCCATGCGCATCCGCGTTTAACCTTATCCCGAATTGGTTTGCATGCGAAATTTTACCTTCGCATGTTTCCGACAAGTTCTATTGTGGCAATAATGGCACTACATGTATACAAAATGCAGGCAGGGCATTAATACAGCAACCTTTAAAGTACAAGTGTACGTTAGAGGTCCAAACTAAACGTTTTGCATGTAAAACAACTAGAAAAAAGTTTTGATTTTTAATTGACAAATTTCGAGGAAGAAACGTTGTGAAACCTAGTTTCAAATGCACTCTTCACAGAAGCTCGCAAAATGGTAAACAAACCATGAAGTACTTTGTTTATTATATGAATCTACTTAGCAATTATGAGGAGAGATATTTATATCTGTCACATTTCTTACGAATCAAATCGTTACGTGTTTAAATCAGTTACACTAGGCCAAAAAAAAAAATATGTGGGTTTCCGGTTTCCCGACCCTACCTAGCTTTTGGACGTCGAAATCCCGACCCTAAACTTTTTTATTGGATCATGCTTGTAAGTGTTTCCACTTAGAGGAAAAAGTTTGTGGAAAATTGAAATTTTAGGCAATATTAGGGAAATTTATCTTTGGATGTGGAAGCACCGACTAAACAAAATGGCGTCCGGTTGTTCGGAAAATTAAAAAAAAGTTTAAAAAAAAAGTTAAAACCGACCTACCCCACCTAAGTTTTTATAAGAAGAAACCGGAAACCCACATATTTTTTTTTTGGCCCTATCAAGGAAATACGGTGGTCACACTGCCATTGACTTCACCTTATCTCTGCACAGAAATCTCTATACTTACTTAATAATATTATTTCTACACACAGACTACCAGCCTACCATCAACACCACAGACCATCAAACCACCACCACCATTATCAATCAAGCCACCACCCCAAACCCAAGAAGACAAACAAGCAATTTCTCGATTTCCTCAAAACCTATCAGGCGTAAGTGTTACTGACGTTGCAAATACCACAAAGCATAGTGGAGACATTATTTTGGGACACTCTATATATTGTAAATTATAGGTAGAGTAGTTTAAAATGTTGGTTCTGAAATAAAATTTCTTATAGTATATCAATTCAAACATCCAAATTAAATATTTTACGCTTTCTTTTATTTATTTTTAAAAGGCACCTCCTGAACGATTGTCGAAAGCAGGACAGAAACCAGAGTCAAAACAGAACAAAACTGACAAGAAAACGAAGAATATAAAAATGAAGTTCCCATACAGGACGGTGGGATGTAAACAAAGCGGTAACAAGACTCCCTCAAATGAAAGCCTCTCAAGTGAACACAAGGATGGAAAGCCCACTGATCGACCAGAGGAAGATCATGATTGTATTGATGACATGTATGAAGAAATTGGATCTCAAAACTCACATTCTGAGGATAACTACACAGAGTTGGATACCACATACACACCAGTACCACGACTTTATGAAAAATATATAACAGAGGCTCCTAAAGCCAAAGAGGTAAGCCCACTACCATCAAAATTAATAATTTCCTGCATGAGTGTGAATGTTAGCTAAGCACGTTTTATCCCATCGTCCGCATTTTATCCCCTACTCCGCATTTTATCCATACGCATCCGCGTTGAACTTTATCCCGAATTGGTTTGCATGCGAAATTTTACCTTCGCATGTTTCCGACAAGTTCTATTGTGGCAATAATGGCACTACAAGTATACAAAATGCAGGCAGGGCATTAATACAGCAACCTTTAAAATACAAGTGTACTTTAGAGGTCCAAACTAAACGTTTTGCATGTAAAACCAGAAAAAAGTTTTGATTTTTAATTGACAAATTTCAAGGAAGAAACGTTTTGAAACCTAGTTTCAAATGCACTCTTCACAGAAGCTCGCAAATGGTAAACAAACCATGAAGTACTTTGTTTATTATATGAATATACTTAGCAATTGTGAGGAGAGATATTTATATGTCACATTTTTTACGAATCAAATCGTTACGTGTTTAAATCGGTTACACTATCAAGGAAATATGGTGGTCACACCGCCATTGACTTCACCTTATCTCTGCACAGAAATCTCTATCCCTACTTAATTAATAATATTATTTCTACACACAAACTACCAGCGTACCATCAACACCACAGACCATCAAACCACCACCACCATTATCAATCAAGCCACCACCCCAAATCCAAGAAGACAAACAAGCAATTTCTCGATTTCCTCAAAACCTATCAGGCGTAAGTGTTGCTGACGTTGCAAATATCACAAAGCATAGTGGAGACATTATTTTGGGACATTATTGTAAATTATAAATTATAGGAAAAGTAGTTTAAAATGTTGGTTCTTAAATAACATTTCTTATAGTATATCATTCAAACATCCAAATTAAATATGTTACGCTTTCTATTATTTATTTTAAAAAGACACCTCCTGAACGATTGTCGAAAGCAGGACAGAAACCACAGTCAAAACAGAACAAAACTGACAAGAAAACGAAGAATATAAAAATGAAGTTCCCATACAGGACAGTGGGATGTAAACAAAGCGGTAAGAAGACTCCCTCAAATGAAAGCCTCTCAAGTGGACACAAGTATGAAAAGCGCACTGATCGACCAGAGGAAGATCATGATTGTATTGATGACATGTATGAGGAAACCGCATCTCAAAACTCACATTCTGAGGATAACTACACAGAGTTGGATACCACATACACACCAGTACCACGACTTTATGAAAAATATATAACAGAGGCTCCTAAAGCCAAAGAGGTAAGCCCACCACTACCACCAAAATTAATAATTTCCTGCATGAGTGTGAATGCTGGCTAAACACGTTTTATCCCCTCGTCCGCATTTTATCCCCTATTCATTTTTGATTGACAAACTTCGAGGAAGAAACGTTTTGAAACCTAGTTTCAAATGCACTCTGCACAGAAGCTCGCAAATGGTAAACAAACCATGAAGTACTTTGTTTATTATATGAATATACTTAGCAATTATGAGGAGAAATATTTATATCTGTCACATTCCTTACGAATCAAATCGTTACGTGTTCAAATCAGTTACACTATCAAGGAAATATGGTGGTCACACCGCCATTGGCTTCACCTTATCTCTGCACAGAAATCTCTATACTTAATTAATAATATTATTTCTACACACAGACTATCAGCCTACCATCAACACCACAGACCACCAAACCACCACCACCATTACCAATCAAGCCACCACCCCAAACCCAAGAAGACAAACAAGCAATTTCTCGATTTCCTCAAAACCTATCAGGCTTAAGTGTTGCTGACATTAGTAGACTGCTTGGGCATTTAAATTTGGGTGACTACGTACAGACATTTGCAAATTAATTGATTGATGGAACGATGTTGGCCAGCTTGGACCAAGATTCGTTAGAGTCATTGGGCGTGAAACCATTTCATTGTAAGAAATTGTCGGACTTTATCGGTGGTTGGCGTCCGAGAGCTTAATGTGTGAAAATATGAATTTTATCTTGGAGTCGTTGGACAACCTGTTTCATTTTGTTTATACTCATTGCCATTTAATATTTTAACATCAAAAAGCTAACACAATGAGTTTTTCATTCATGCAATTATTAAAAAGATTTAATTCGGTGAAAGATGGGATTTCCACTCCACTCGGCTTTCGCCTTGTGAAATGGAAAATGCACCAAAAATATTTTTTTGCACGAATGCACACATAAACATTCTTTATTTGTATACTGTCACAGTCGCACAGTTTGTCTTCGATCAAAGAAATTCCGACAGTGCAAACTATAATAACCAGTACAACGTATGCAAACTATAAACAGTGCAAACTATCATAACCTGTACAACTAATTATAACTTATTTGTTTCCCAAACAAAGAATTTCTTGTTAAACATCGCTATTCGTGACAATTAATTACTTACTAATTTTTCCTGTACTTGGAACTAGTTTTATACTTTTATAATATTACATACTAATTTACTAATATATATTCCAAATGTAGAGCTACTATGTAGAAATATTGGAATAAATTTATTAAATTTATTATTATTATTATTATTATCATCATCATCATCATTATCATCATCATTATTATTATTATTACTACTATTACTATTACTATTATCATTATTATTATCATTATTATTATCATTATTATTATTATTGTCATTATTGTCATTATTGTCATTATTATCATTATTATCATTATTATTATCATTATTATCATTATTGTCATTGTTGTCATTATTGTCATTACTGTCATTATTATCATTATTATCATTATTATTATTATTATTATTATTATTATTATCATCATTATTGTTATTATCGTCATTATTGTTATTATTGTCATTATTGTCATTATTGTCATTATTATTATCATTATTATTATCATTATCGTCATTATTGTCATTATTATCATTATCGTCATTATTGTCATTATTGTCATTATTATCATTATCATTATTATTATTATTTTCATCATTATTGTTATTATTGTCATTATTGTCATTATTGTCATTATTATTATCATTATTATCATTATCGTCATTATTGTCATTATTGTCATTATTATCATTATTGTCATTATTGGCATTATTGTCATTATTGTCATTATTATCAATATTGGCATTATTGTCATTATTGTCATTATTATTATCATTATTATTATCATTATCGTCATTATTGTCATTATTGTCATTATTATCATTATTGTCATTATTGGCATTATTGTCATTATTGGCATTATTGTCATTATTGTCATTATTGTCATTATTGTCATTATTATTATCATTATTATTATCATTATTGTCATTATTATCATCATTATTGTCATTATTGTCATTATTGTCACTATTGTCATTATTATTATTATTATTATTATTATTATCATTAATGTCATTATTGTCATTATTGTCATTATTGTCATTATTATTATCATTATTGTCATTATTGTCATTATTATTGTCATTATTGTCATTATTGTCATTATTATCATCATTATTGTCATTATTATCATTATTGTCATTATTGTCACTATTGTCATTATTATCATTATTATCATTATTGTCATTGTCATTATTGTCGTTATTGTCATTATTATTATCATTATCATTATCATTATTATCATTATTGTCATTATTATCATTATTATTATCATTATTATTGTCATTATTGTCATTATTGTCATTAGGCCAAAACAAAAATATGTGGGTTTCCGGTTTCCCGACCCTACTAGCTTTTGGACGTCGAAATCCCGACCCTAAACTTTTTTATTGGATCATGGTTGTAAGTGTTTCCACTTAGAGGAAAAAGTTTGTGGAAAATTGAAATTTGAGGCAATATTAGAGAAATTTATCTTTGGATGTGGAAGCACTGACTAAACAAAATGGCGTCCGCTTGTTCGGAAAATTAAAAAAAAAGTTTAAAAAAAAAAAGTTAAAACCGACCTACCCTACCTAAGTTTTTATACGAAGAAACCGGAAACCCACATATTTTTTTTTTTGGCCTTATTATTGTCATTATTGTCACCATGGTCATTATTGTCACCATGGTCACCACGGTCACCACGGTCATCACCGTCACCATCACCATCACCATCATCATCATCATCATTATTATTATGTACGTCACATGTGTAAACTGATGAATCATATATTTCGAAATAAAATCATCGTGAAGTGAACAACCGACCAAGATACATCTCATGTAGACTGCAAGTTTGAGTGCTTTATGTTTTTGTTAAAATAAAGTTTATATTATACGGTAATCAAGGCCAGTACATACGGGGGGGAGGAGCTGGCGCAATGAAATAAGTTCACGGCAAAGACCTTCCTAGGTGGTTTGCCCCCAGAAAAGTTTGAAAATTATGAGCCCGGAAAGTGCATTTCCAGCTATGATATAGTGTCAAGTCATTTTCAAAAGTAATAATTTTGGTTAAGCCGATGGCAGTGTCACAAAAAAGGAGAAATATATTTCAACCCTTGCATGCATGGACAGTATAGCCAAGTGACCAATTTCCCAAACTAATCAAGAAAGGGTATATGGGTTAAGTATCATAAAAATCATTGCACTCGCGCTTGAATATTTCAGAACGACACAAGAATCTTTTTAATTTTGATTCTTTTCAGATTTGAATCGGTGCTATTTGTTTGATTTGACGAATATTTGACTCAGCGAGCTAATAATCGCTATTAAAGTTAAAAAGATTACTATTACAAGATGTCAGTATCTCAAGAGTACAGGCTTGCCCAATCACTTGTTTGGAGTGACCACGAGTTTAGCTTAGCCGACTTTGTCAAACGTTACGAGCTACCTCAAGTTGTGTTAGTCCTAGTCATAGATATCTTATATACACTAGATAGTGCATCTAATTATTCTGAAGTTCAAAAATTGAAGCCGTGATTGCAGTCTCAGGTCGTTCCCATGAAATTAGAAGATTCGTATGTTTTCTATTTCTTAAACAGGGAACTTAAACATTAAGTTAACCCTATTCCAAATTCGTTTTTAAAATATTCAAATGATGAAAATTATTGTTGTTTTTAAGCGTTTATTAGCAAGTGGGAACGACCAACATGGCCGCCATCTATTCAAATGGGGGTAACCGCTGGAATATTGTTGGCTTCAATTTTACTAAAAGAGATGCGCTATCTAGTGTATATAAGATATCTATGGTCCTAGTCGGTTATTGTGGTGTTAATGAACGGACGACTTTCGGTAGTGGTCAAATTCTGACTCTACATACTTTGCGTACGACCAGTAAAATAGTATGCCAGGTTCCTCGTAGTAAAGCAGTGGTGGTTCCTACAAGCTGTCCGCTCAAAGCTGAGGTGATACCTATGGACTGTAGGGACACGAAAGTGACTGCCTATCAATTGTCAACAACATACCAGAAAATCAAATACGTTCGAGTTATGGAAGTAGGCTCAACCATAGTTAATATAATGAGAGGGTTTGGAAGGCCGGCAAACTTCAAAGCAACACGTGACCTATTGACACATAAACTCGAAGAGAGGCATCACGTGACAGTTAAGGTGCATAACATGGCGATTTCATAGTATAATCTATATTAATTCTATATTAATTGGGGGTTTTTCGATGGTTTTACAACGTTTTGATAAATGTAAAGACTTTATCGTACTTTGCCTATGCAAAAGGCAACGTTTAAGACCTTTTTATATTCCATTGGCCAATCTGCTCCCGCTTTACACTGTAAAAATCACTATTCACTAATAATCTATAAAGTTCGTTGATATATGATATATCACATACTGTAGCCTTCTCAAAATTCTGCTTACTAGTAAATTTTATACAAAAATACATCCACTGCTTTAAAGTTTTCGGCTAAGGTAATATTTTACCGAGTATTCTCACGCAAACTTGTGTTTATTCAAATTTATACGACTATGAATGTTTGAAACAGCCAAAATATATATTTCCATACAGATCGAGCGCTATTGTTTTCGACTCTAAAGGTCCTGACCTTACACCGCACTGATATGTATTAAAATGTCGCATCATATATAATAATAGAGACCTTACGATTTTAGGACGGCAACGCGACGACGATTGGCTTGTGATGCGAAAGACTTTATACACCGCACTGATATGTATTAAAATGTCGCATCTTAGATAATACAAACTTTACGATTTTAGGACGGCAACGCGACGACGACGGCCAAAACAAACTCCTTCAAATAAATGATAGTAAAGATAATTCGTAGTATATTATCAATCGTATGAACTTAATACAGTTTTAGAAGTTGAAGACATGGGTAGAGTTTTCCTGAACCCGGTTTGATGTTGCACTTGTTGCGGCTTGAAATGCAGCCGTTCTATCAAGACGTGAAAATCTGTGATTTGGCGTTGTAAACAGAGCGAGGATACTGTCTAAATTATTCATATATTGTAATTTTTCAAATTTGTCTCTAATGTATACTTTAATACAACACTCATATTCTTCTTTCCGCCTAAAATGCCTCTCACAGATATACAGATTTCCGCTATTGATTTGTCGACGCAAACTTTCGTCCACAGAGCGGTCCTTCGTGATAACACTTATCTAAGCTTCGCGGGTTTTCTTCGATAATTCATCTGTTTCTGCAGGAATTTTAAAAATACCTACTCCAACGTGCTTTTGACTTGCTGCCCAGCTAAATATGGAGCAATTCGCTCCTGGCATCGCGAAAAACTTGCCTAAATACGATGATTTTGTGTCCCCCCTTAGCTTAATCTATATGATTTTACTAGGTAAACACCTCGTCAATGCACCTTGGCTTCCACGTGACAAAGAACAATAAGTTATTTTGTCACGTGACCTCGCCTTCCAAACCCTCTCATTATATTAACTATGGCTCAACTTGGAATAATAAGTCGTTAGCCACTTTAAAAATCAACGATATCCTACAGTTTAAAAAAATCGACACCGAAAACTTCGTGATACGATGTAAAAACCTCACAACTGCACAAGATATGTCGATTCTACTTTATTCTACTGCCGTATTTGTGCCCTTGTTGGACTCAAATACCTACAACTTGGCTGAGATTCAGAAACAATTCGGACTCCCGACTAAGGTTCGCTTTTTGGATAAAAGGGTAGAAATTCCAATGCGTTCAGTACCTGGAAAGAGAAATCCTCCGAGGTCTTCGACATATTTGTCAGATTTGGGTCAGATGATAGCCATTGAAGAAATACAAGAAAGAGACGTAATTGTTACGACTGTGTGTTCCAACCTTGAAGAGAAGGTAGGTATATTAGTATTTTGTTCACACTAAACTAACTTTATTTAGTGCCAGTAAGGATAATATTATTAGTCCAGTGTTACTACAGAAAGAAACGGAAAATAAACTAACTTTATTTACACTGGATAGCTCTATAAGTTCTGAACACCTCTCCCTAGAGGTCCAGTAAGGACACCCTAAAGCCAATTTCCTGAAAGATTATTGAAAGATCCTGGCGAGATTGTACAAGATCACGGTACAATCATTTCGAGACCTTTGTGAAATTTTGGCACGATCATGGCAAAGTCTTGGCAACATTGTACATAATATCATGGTACAATCATTGCGAGATCTTCGTGAATTCTTGGCAGAATCATGGCAAGATTGTAAAAATATCATGGCACAATCATTGCGAGATCTTGGTGAAATCTTGGCAGGACCTGGCAAGATTGTAATAATATCATGGCACAATCATTGCGAGATCTTGGTGAAATCTTGGCAGGACCTGGCAAGATTGTAATAATATCATGGCACAATCATTGCGAGATCATGGTGAAATATTGGCAGGACCTGGCAAGATCTGGGCAACATTGTAATTAGATCATGGTATAATCATTGCAAGACCTTGATGAAATCTTGGCAGGAACATGGCAAGGTCTTGACAAGATTTTGACAAGATAATGACAACATCGTCACAACAATTATTGCAAGATCTTGGTGCGTGACACCTTGGTAGGATCATGGCAAGTTTTGGTCAACCATCTTGAGAAAAATGTGTTCAAATACTATTACACTGCTTGAAGATCTTGGCAAGAGATTAGTAAGATCATGGCAAAAATCTCAACTTGGTTACCACAGGAGGAATTCAAACTTAATAAACTAAATTAACTTTATTTATAATTGGTCAAGTAGAACCAATGAAATGGCTGCTTAAAATAAGGGGTTATCAAACCTGTTGGTACTTTGATGCCAGTGGCGTAGCCAGGATTTCTGGCCAAGGGGGCCCCACAAAATCAGGGGGGGGGGACTTCAAACAAGATGAAAACAGAAACTGAGAAGGAAACAAAGTACGTAAACATTGGCGCATCCAATTAGTTTTGTTTAATTGTAAAACTGCATATACAACAAACGTTAAATTGAATGAAAGGTATAACAACGGTATATAAGGAATAAAATATTCACAATCAGCCACTCAGCGACACATTAACCAGTGCCGTAGGAAGCTCTTTTTGATTGGGGGAACAGAAAACGAGGGCCGAAGGCCCAAGGAAATTTTTAAATTTAGAGTATCTGAAAT